CAGCCGCCCACCCAGGGGTGAAACACCGAAAGGCACTCTGATCTCATCTGCTCGGGCCCCTGCGCCACTGTCAGTCTGGCGTCCGCCTGGTGCAGTCAGAAAGGTCAGCTCCACATTTTGAAGGGACCTTAAAATATTCTTTTACTGTTTTTTAAATTTGCCATTTTAATGACTTTAAAGCATTTTGGAACTTTTTTGCCTCTTCTCCCCGGGGCGTAACTCAGAAGCTCTTACACTCAAAAGCTGATTAGAAATAATTCCTCAATTCCTTTCACTCAAGAAACAAAATGAGTCTCTACCTATCTCAAACTTCTACCTCCCGGGTTCAGTTTATTGGAATTAGGAACCAACTCATTATACAGAGAAAATTAATTTGGAATGGAGCTCAAAAGGACAAGAGGGGTGAACTTGAGAGCAGAGAGTGATCCAGTTTGTAGCTGTTAGGGGTGAAGATAAAAGCCAAGTTTCACCCAGGAAGGTTCCATTAGCCCTACACGCCCAGAGGGAACTTCCAGTGTGTGTAGAGGTGGAGTGTGGAGTTGGGAACACTTGGACTCCAAGCTGAACACATGTGACACTACAGATTGCTTAGCTCCAGCTGTGGGCCCAGCTCCCAGTGGGTCCCTGTGGCCTGCATCTCTGTGGGTAACTATTCAAATAACCCCAGGAATGCGCTGCTGGCCGCAGAAGACTGACTCTTCTAATAAAAACAGTGAAATAACTGGGATAGATGGACAGAAAAATATGTTTTAGACACATGTTGGGTTCAAATCTAGGCTTTTACTAGTGCCAAGCAATGCACCACATGTTGCTGGGGCCAGAGATGATAGCATTTCAAGGCAATGACTTCACAAAGGAGAATTTCAGAGACTCCTAGATAGGGTGAAAGCTCAAATCTCAACATCTGCAGTAAACAACCCAACACATCTGGGCAGATCCCTCTGAAACCCAGCTGCAAGAGAATAGCGGCATGCTCTGAGGGATGTCAGCATCACCCCAGGAAACCCAGGATACAGTGTGCAGGAAGCCCTGAGACGCGGACCCATGTCGTTGTCATGCAACTAACGAGCACTGTCTCCACTTCTGAGCCTCGGAAGGAAGGAGGCGCACTACCTCTGGCCACCAGATCTTGTCCACTCATTGGGATACTCAAGAACAAACATGTATGGCTATCATTAGGAGACACAGTAAAACAAGTAAGAAGAAATAAAAGGGAGCGACTGTGGAATGACGTAGGCTCTCTCATCATTATAATGTTATAATAAACATCATTTAAAGGCTTGGACTATCCTATTTATATGAGTTTCAATGGGTTACAGGTCAATCTGAAGAGCAAAAATTAATGAACACAGTTTAGTTTGAATGTCTTTTATAAGCCAAAGCAAAGCATGCTGGCTTCCCCTCAAAATGTAGCAAAAACCTGATGTAATGCAGTTGACTAGAAGATACTGCACTAAAACAGGAGACCTACTTATTCTGTATTTTAAAATCTTCACAAAGTGACTCTGAAGCTTACAGGAGCTGGGAGGAAAAATAATCAGCTGTTCTCGTTCCAAAACCAAGAGGAAGCGGACGTCAAAGACCCACTGCGTCAGCAGCCAAAGGGCCTTCTGAAATGTTTTCTCAGGTGGGTGAGTATACTTCTGATCTCAAAAATCACAAATAAGAAATTTGACTTTCAAAATAATTCTAAAGCACTTTTCTCCTTGAAACAGACAAAAGGGAATAATAAGGAACTTGAAAGAGGCCACTCTCCGCAGTCTCCATAACCACGGGCCTAATCCCCAACGAGGTTTGGAGGCCTCGAAGGTACGGGCCTGTCCGGATGCCCCGCACCAGCTCCGCCCGCCGCCCAGCGCTCGTCCTCACACCCCACCACAGAAAGCACACGGCGGGCACCCCTCCAGCACCTGCCCTGTCTGGAAACCCAGGTGTCTAAGGGTGTACCAGCTGCGCTGCAGCAGCCTTACCAACTTCCGTTTCCTCAACTTCATCCACGTCTATGACCTGCGGGTGCTGCTGGGGGAACCTCTCCCCGGGCAACTGGAAAGACCTGGTCCTCTCAGTGGAAGGCCCGGCGGGTCTGTCGGTGGCCAGGCGGCGGGGGGAGGCTCTGTGCCTGCTGTGTGGGCCAGCGTCTCCCCTTCTCGGGGCCTCAGAGGGGAAGAGAGTGGTGCCCACATCCTCTGGGCCCAGACTTGGCACGGAGTCATAATCTTCATCATCATACTCTTCATCGTCGAGTCCCAGGCTAACGTCCGAGGACACCACGCCACTGGCTGTGTCTGGACTCCCAATCTCAAACACCCAGACGCCCTGCTGCCCAGAGTTGCTGCTCCTAGGAGAAAGGACAGGCTTCTTGGAAACAGGCCCCCACTACCCAGAAGCAGGAGCCCTGCGGATCGGTGTCAGTCTGCGATGCAGCTGGGCTGGAGGGTGGGCGAGCAGATGGGGTTATGCGTGGTCATCGCAGAGCTAAAGCTATCAAGGCCATTCGGTGAGGCTGCATCCAAATGGACACAGACCAGCAGAGACTGACCTTCTGCCTTTGAAGAGGTGCTCTCCAGGGACACTGCCAGGCCTTACAATGCGATTTATACTAACCCCTGGTCATATGCCCCCCATGAAAGCAACCTGTTGACTGGAGTCATTCATTTCATCTGTTACTATCTTTCCTTGGCATGGTGTGATATAATAAGAATTATATACAGTTGACCCTTGAACAATGCACGGTCAGGGGCACCAACCCCCATGCAGTCAAAAATCAGCATATAACCTTAGACTCCCCAAAAGCTTAACTACTAAATGCCTGCTGTTGACTGGAAGCCATACAGATAACATAGTTGATTAGTACATATTTTGTATGTTATATGTATTATGTACTGTATCCTTAGAATGAAGTAAGCTGGAGAAAAGAAAATGATATTAAGAAAATCATAAAGAAGGGTCAGTAGTATTCGGTCTTTGTCTCTAGTTCCGGCATCCAGCTCCTAAATCCCTGTCATCTCTGGACTGATAAGAGTGTCTTTTTTTATTCTAATGAGATGACTGGTGGCTGGGGACCCTAGAGAGCTTCTAGATGGGGGCTGGTCAATGAAAAACGAAGGCGTGATTAGAGGATTGGAATTTTCAGCTCCATGCCGAGTTCCAGGGAGGGGAGAGGAATTAGAGACTGAGTTTATCACCAGTGGCCATCATTTAATCAATCATGGCTGGTAATAAAAAAAACCCAAAGGATGAGGTTGGAGAGCTTTTGGGGTGGTGAGCACATCGAGGTGATAGGAGGGTGGTGACCCCAGAGAGGCAGAGAAGACTGGTGCCCCCTCTCCCTCCTATATCTTGTTCTGTGCACCTCTCCTATTTGGCTGTTTCTGAGCTGCATCTTTATAATAAACTGGTAACACCATGTCAGTGCTTTCCTGAGTTGTGTGACTTGGACGGGGGGGTTGCAGCCTGGGACTTGTGACTGGTGTCTGAAGTGGGGGCGACTTATGGGACAGAGCCCTTCACCTGGGGGTCTGTGCTAACTCCGGGCAGTTAGTGTCGGAATTGAACTGAACTGGAGGACACTCGAATGGTGTCTGAAGGGTTGGAGAATTGGTTGGTGTGGGAAAGAAAGCCACATATTTGGTGTCAGAAGTGTAGTTAGTGAAAACAGTAGACTTGGCTTATGAGAAATCCCATGTCTGTTAGCTGTGGAATCTTAGTCTCAGTTAACCTTCTTATGCTCAAAAAGAACAGTGAAATGCAAATGAGATTCAGACTCTAAAGGCATTTTATAATTACAAAACACAACAGACTAACCCTAATCTCCACTTGCTGCTGCACCGTTTTTACTCTTACCAGATTATACAGTGGAAAGAAGGGACCTCCACTACTCGGTGGAGAGCACTGAGCAAAAGCCTGGGGATGGGGATCAGGAGAGTCCTGCAGAAACAGGGCATCCAGTCAACCTGTCCGCCCGCGCCCCTCGGGAGAGCCAACTTAGATTTTAGAAACTCTGCAAGCCAGTTATTAAACACAGCCGTTGTACAAAACTAAATGATGTAAAATTACAATGAAATAAGTTATATTTTTGAAAAGGCAATAAATACTCAAAACTCATCACATTTGAATTATGTTACTATTATCTATGTTCTTGAGGTTATTTGTCTACTGCATCTGTATGGTATGAACACTGTACAATGGTTCATCTTCTCTCATCTCCACGTGGAGCAGGGTGACCTGAACAGCTGGAAACTGGCCGTGGCTGGAGCGTTTACACCACAGAAATAGGCAAACACTGTAAGCGAGGGCTTTTCCACACCTGTAAAGCCGGCTGTTAAGCAGCTACCAGCACACCATTAAGTTAAAGCAGAGGAGCTTTAAACTCAATTTGATAATATGAAATTGGGGGTGGGGGGAGTCTTCATTTTTTAAAGAATGTTGGTAGAGAAAAGGTTTTAATTTTAGAAAAGGCATCTGACCTTTCTCCCCTTTTGCCAAATTCTACAAAAGAGCCTGAGAGAGCAGTGTTTCTGTTGTAGGATTTCCTGCCTAGTCAATGTGGGGAAAGGGTGTTCTCAGCCTTGGGTTCATAGCAAGAGATGGGCTTGAAACACTTTATTTCTAACTTTATACTTATAAAGGAGATGGTAGAAACTGTTTCAAATGAGGATGACACCTAAAAAACAGTACACCTGTGCATTCTAAGAGTATCTTCCCTTGAGTTCATCAGAAAAAATGCTACATTATATAAAAACTATACACAGAATTGCAACCCAAGGAACGTTTTTAGGTAATGTTCTGTAATGCCCATTACATTACCCTTAATAAAATAATAAAGTGCTGATCTTATTAAGGGGGGAAATCTACTGAAGAACAAAGAAGCATACTTGGCCAAATTTTCAATTGATTCTCTGTCGTTAGCAAATATGTTATAAGCGCCATCGCTGCTCCACAGGAGTCCCACCAGCCCTTGGCTGAAGGCGACCATGGCTGGGACCTGGCTCTTGTCCCTCTTTGAGAACGTCGTCGTGAACTGCAGACCGTCTTCAGGGTAAAGGAAAATGGCGTAGGAGCTGGAGCCAGAGGAGGCCAGGACCGCCTGGAAGGTGTTTCTCTGTGAAGATGGGTCAACATTCAGTCACTCAGGAAAGTATCTACAGATCTTAAAACATGCTACTCGCCAGACTCTACGTGAAATGTGCAAAGATGGCAGTGTCCTCACCTTATTTTAAAAGAAGGAACAAGTATTCCAGGACAGCTCCACTGGAATGCCTCTAAGGCTGTGGCAACGTGAAATTTTCTAATGAATTAATGGATACCTTCTGCATAACTGTGACCCTCAGGTTAACAATAATTATAGAGACCTAAAAATCTCACGCAACTTAGCAAATTCTTACCCTCAGAATTTGTATCTACGGCCACTAAGCATGTTCAGCCACGGTCATCATTAGGCATACATCACTGAGCCTACGCACCATAGAGCACGAAAGAACGTGAGTTCTGGGTGGAAACAGATCTGGATCCAAATCCTCACTCATCACCGGTGTGTGACCTTGGGCACGTTACCCAAGCTCTCTAAGCCTTGGTTTCTGAATCTGTTGGAGATAAAACCACCTCCTTCATAGGAATGGCAGGAGGGCCAGTGAGATAACATACGAAGGGCCAGGCTCAGAGAAAGTACTCCTTAAATGTGGAACCTTTCCTATGTGCCAGGCGTTGCCCTGGGCACGTGGATACGGACAGTAAGAAGACACAGTCCCTGCACTTGAGGATGTACGGTCTGGAAGGGAGACTGACATGTGAACAAGACATTGCCAAGCCGGGGAACAGATTCTATAAGGGTGTCAGTGCTGTAGGGGTCACAGGAAGACATGCTGACCCTGGGCAGGTGGGAGCGGAGGGGCTGGCCAAGTCTGAAGGAGCACCTGCAGAGGGGTCAGGGCAAGGATGTCACAGCAGAGAGGACAGTGAGGGCAAGATGCTGCAGGTGACAACATACAGTTGCTGCAGAGCATGTGTGGGCAAGGGGTAGGTCAGGCTGCAGAGGCAGGCAGGGCTCTTCACGGGGGGCTGGGCATTTGTCACTCAGGGCAAAGGGGACACATCCTCTAGAAATCGAAGGTCTGACGCAGCGTTCAAGTACAGCACTCAGATACAGGTGACAAAGCAAAATGTGTTGGCCAGGCCCATACAGACCTTCCCAAAGGGTGATCTATGGGAGGTGATGTGTCTTACTTGGGACGGAAAAGGGGGGGTGGCCAAAAGGTGGGGGGGACTGCTAAGTTAATCAGAATGAAGCAGATTTCTTTATGGCAGTGCTTTTCAGCGTGAGTCAGCAAGAGGAGTCACGCGTGTCGAATTTCCCAAACGGACTTGGCCAGGGAGGACTTTTCCTCGGGGACCGTGTGGGACAAGTGTCCTGTGCATGCACGCTGGGACATGCCCGCTGAAATGGGTGCTCTGGGACCTGTCAAGTTTCTCCCTACTGTGTGATCCTATGAAAATTATATAACGGGGGAGGCGAAATTATTTTTCCAAGGAGAGACTGAGGCATGTCTTAAGAGTGACTTCTGATCTAGAGCTGGCTCCTTGACCTACTCAGATGCCCCCTTCAGGACACGTCCGAGCTCTGCACCGCTTTGTGGCTGAACTTGTGTCTGAAACATCCCCAGGTGCAAGGGGCTCTGTCTCCCCACCCAGAGTGTGGACTTTGTCTTCATTTCTTCACTCCCTTCAGGATTATGTGGTCATTTTAACCTTCACTTCATATTAATAATGTCCCTATTTAACCAGAAACGACCTCCCACTATCCGACCCAGAGTAAGAGCAGCCAGGGGGTGGGATTCATCAACCTTATGCTCCATGTGGAAGTTTCTCAGGGACTGGCTTTCTTTCATCCGGTCATCACTGAAACAGAGGTTTATGGCCTTGCAGGTAAGGAGCTGGAGCTTTCGGACCTACAAGTGACGAGCCTGCTCATTTTGTTTTGGGTGTCCTGCCTTTATCAGTGACACAGCACACGGTACCTCAGAGTAGCACCAGCCAGGTGGAGCCGACCTGTGAGACTCTGCACTGGAACCTGGGTGAGTGCTCACCTTGCCTTCCTGGGCGGGGTCCTCGCTGGGCCCTTGGTAGGGGGCGACAGAGTCCCAAGTGACAACCACCACACTTTTGGGTTGGAAGGAGGCTTCCGGGAACCCTCTCTGGACACACTCCGCTGCCAGCTGGGTGACGGAGGGGGAGAAGTCCTCTCGATAGTAAACCTTCCCAAGGCCGTCTGTTGTGTCCAGGTCTGCCAGGAATGGTGCCACTGCTCCAAAGGTCGGAGGGAAGAGCCCAGGATGGGATTCTGTGGCCGGGGGTTCACTCATGGCAATGAGGCCATTTGTGGTGACCTGCCGAAACCAAGCAGAGTTAAAAGGAGCACAGAAGTGACGTTTTCTACAGGGGAGACTGGGCGCCCACTCAGAGAACAGGTGCCCACACAATGCCAAATACAGCAGAGTCGGAGGAAGATATGACCCTGAATGGTAGAAAGCAGTTTTTTCCTGGGCAAATGTCCTGGGGACACCAGTCCCCAAGGACAAGTGTCTTAAGGGTCTCAGGTTTCCCTTAGGTGCGAGCTTTGTATCCTGCAAAGCCTCAGCGTAAGTTATTAAAGCCTTCATTCATTTTCTCAGCGAGCTGAGTAATCCTTACATACCAGACCGCTGAGTTCTACAGACTCTGCCTTCAAGGAACCCACAGTCCAGAAAAGTCTGAGGAAGATGGACCCAAACAGATGATGATGGAACAAGTGAATGAGAAGAGAATTGTCTAGAAGGAAATCTGAATGGGGCATATGGTGTCGTCTTGAGTAGTTTACTGTCATAGAATAATAGCTAATACTTATTGGATGTTCACCATGTTCTGGGCATCATACTAACACCTGAGTCTCAGAGGAACCCCACAGGACTAGGGACCACCAGTATCCGTGTTCTCAGATGAGGGAAATGAGGCACGTGAATCAGTTTGTCCAAAGTTACCAGTAAGTGGCAACACTGGGATGTGAGCCGAGGGAGCCCGCTCCACACTGGCTGTCATCACCATGGTACAACTTTCTTGAAATCGGCTATCACTGCCTGGGACTAGGCACCACCGTTCTCATGCAGTGGAAGCCCATGCTCCTTGGGAAAATGGGAAGGACAAACAGCCCCGTGGGGGGAGAGGGCACTGGCCCCTGCAAAGCCAGGCGACAATGTGGCTTTGACCTACTCATGTTCTCGTTAGCGCACAACCCACTGATGACACAGAGTCCACTCCACTGGTCTTTTTACTTCAAGTATCTGAGAGTCAAAAAAATAAAATAAAATCCCTAATCAGATGGGAGAGACTTTGCAAATGGCACCTCAGTTTGCACTTTAAGGGGCTGAGGTTGGAAAAACGCCAATGCTTCAGGGAACTCTTGATTGTCCAGGAGAGCTGAAGGCCTGTTGGCCTCTTAGTCACTTATTTCCCTCCCTCCTCCAAACACACCCTTATCCTTCAGTCACTTCAGACCTTGTTCCTGGAGGAGAGGCCATAGGTGACAAAAAGGCCAGGAACTTAAAACACAATCCTTGCAACATGCCCAGAACTGGGTGAAAAGGCTCCATGTGGTGGAGCCAACTGAACACTCAACGGAGCTTAGGGAGTGAACTCAGCGCACCTCCCCCTTTACCCAACTTCCTGGGCTATGAGCTGTTTAAGGGACATACTTCTCATCACCTGGCACAAGCAATACTTTCTGGAGCACGCAGACAGGCTGCAGAGACGGGTCAGGGAGGAGCTGGCCCAGCTGGCTCTGCCCCACCCCCACCCAATCACCTCCCAGCTGGCGGGGGCGTGGGAAACTGCTCACTTTCTCAAGACACCAGAAGTTGGCAGTCATCAGCTGCTAGTAGGAAGTGACACACAGGGCCACATACAGACAACTTGGTTTTAAAAATCTGTTTTTCCAGTGAAATTTAAGTCAGTCCAATGGTTTAGAAAAGACGAACAGTGCCTTTTATTATTTAGAATCTGGGCACAGGAATGTTCCTATTTCCACAAGAAATGCTTTAGGGATGGAGACTCAGAGCCCAGTCACTAAGCTCTGCAGACACTCTGTACAGAGCCCAGATGACCCCCATTAGTGCCAGTTTTGGAAAATGATTTTTCAGCCAGTTTTCCTGCACATTCAACTCAGTTGTCGGTGATCCTAAAGAGAGATGACAGCAAAGATAAATATCATATACAGAACATCAGAAGTTGCATTTGATTTTTAGCTTTAAACAACCCCCCCTCCAGTAAACTTTATTTTCAGATACACCATTGACGGCAAGCAGGACGGACAATATTTGGTACGTTCAGGTGCCAGTCTCATCTGACATGTCAAGCACACGATGCTCCTTGTGCCTTTTCTCCATCTTTCTAAAGTGCCATGGACCAATTCAATAGGAGGGCAGGGAACACAAAGGAAAGGCATCTAGGAGGCCAGGAGGACAGTCTCCAAGGGGACTAGGCTGGCTGCCCCACACGGCCATTCACCCAGTTGCTTAAGCTAGGACATTCCATCACCCGATGTCCTGTGTCCTGCCTCTGGAGGATCTGGCACCTTCTCCATCCACACAGCCACTAGCACCCCTCCCCCACCGCATGCAGTCACATGACTGGCTCTGCCTCAATCCTTTAGGGCTCAGCTAAAGTAGCACCTAGGAGAGCTTTCTCTAACCATCCACGTAGGCTCCTCGCCCCTCCTTCTGCCTCCTTCGCTCCCTGATCCCGATTTATAGCTCCACCTCCTATTTGTTTCTTCCCAGGAGCGACCACAGTTTGTAATGACCTCACTGTCTGCTTGCTGGCTGGCTGCTGTCCCCACTATGCAGTACATCCCCTGGGGGACCAGGACCACATCAATCTTGGTCACTGACGTAGCTATAGATCTTACAGGTGGCCTGGCATGTGTTGGTCCCCTCCCTCCCTCACTTCCTTCAGGAAATGGGGTAGGGGATTTCATGCAGGTGGTTCGAGAAATTATGCCTGAAGGTGTGAGAGCCATGAGGGACCACAGCATTGGGTGTGGCTGCAGTTCTTTCCACAGGCGCATGACACTGAAACGAATGGCTAAGCAAAGAGTTTGCATAAATATGAGCCTATAACTTGAATCTGAGCAAGTCTCTAGATCTACCTACCAGTTTACAGGAAAAGCAGGGGACAGAACATAAATGACACCATAGAGACACGCTTAGTAAAGTCCAGATCATGGGACATTCTCCAGGACAAAACCCAGTTTCTGTATTAAACACTGCAAGAAAAAACAAGGCACAGGAACCTGTAGATTTAAGAAGTCCTAAATAACATGTCTACCAGATGCCATGTGTGGTCTCTGGATCCTGACTTAAACCAAAACGCAAAAGAAAACATTTTATGAACCTATTTGGACATTGGATGATATTAAGGAATCATTACTTATTTTTTAGGTGAGATTGTGAATTTTGCAATTTTGTTTTAAACACAGTCATTTTTTTAGACATACATCCTGAAATATTTAGAATGAAATAAAATGTTTGGGATTTGCTTAAGAATAACTCAGTTTTGTTGAGGGGAAGATACTGGGAATAGGCAGATAGAAATGTACCAAGACAAGCCATAAACTGGATTCCAAGATGGTGGTGGATTAAGTGGAAGCTACACTGACACTCTTCCAGGACCAAACTGGAATTACAACTAAAACATAGAAAAACCATCCTGAATCAAATGAAGATGAGCTGGAGAGCACCCTCATAACCAAGGACGGAAAGTGGAGACCACATAGAGACTGGTAGGAAGTGCAGAGGTGTGAGAGGGCTGGCTGGGCTCCCACAGGCAGCAGCTGAAGGTCTAGAGAGAGATCTCAGCTGTGGGGGGCTCTCACTGCAAACTCTGGGATTTAAACCTCAAGCTGGGCTCCCCAGCACAGAGCACCAGAACTGAGAAAGGTGCCCACATAGCAACTGGCTGTGAAAAGCAGCACGGTTTCTGTCTGCCAGGAAAATACACCTAGAAATGGAGGCACCCTCTTAGAGGGCAATGCACAGTTTCGTGTGCACTCACTCACCTTGGGCTCTAGATGAAGGAGGGCAGAGTGGACTAGGAATGCTGTCTCTGGGGACAGAGCTCAGAAGGCAGCCATCTGGATTCCTGTGCCAAGTCATTCCCCCATTGGGCAGAGGACATCTTTCTCAGGCAGACCTTTACCATCCAAGCAGCTTTTGCCTGTGGAAATCATCTCCCCCAACCCAGTGCTACAGCCTGAGGCACATTAAGAGACTGAGAATAACAATCAGCCTGCAGGCAAATTCGGTCTCTGGGTACTTTGAGTCTTTGCCCGATCTGCTTCTGGTCCCAGGGCTTAGAAAAGCAGACCTTAGTGCGCATCTTGGTCCTTTCCAAACATGCCCACACCGAGTACAGGGTGCCACAAGCTATGGATTGCTGATAGCTCCAAACAGGGTACTCAAAGCCAGTCACAAACAGCGTCTGACATTGGCCTGCACCAGAGACCCTCCAAAAAGACTGGGAGTCCTAGCAGATCTGCCTAATACATAGAAACAAACCCAACAGGTAGCCAAAATGGGGAGACAAAAAAAAAAAAAAAGCAAGCCCCAAGTGAAAGAACAAGAGAATTCTCCAGAAGAAGAGATAAATGAAATGGAGATAACCAATCTATCAGATACAGAGTTCAGGATAATGATTGTAAGGATGCTCAACAGCATGAGAAAAGACATGGAATCTCTAAAGGAAATTAAGAATGACATAGCAGAAATAAAGAATACATTGGAAGGAATAAACAGCAGATTAGAGGAAGCTGAGGATCAGATCAGTGAATTAGAAGACAGGGTAGAAAAATCACTCAATCAGAGAACCAAAAAGAAAAAAACAATTAAAAAACAGGAGGACAGTTTAAGGGAGTTGTGGGACAACATGAAATGTAACAATATTCGCATCATAGGAATGCCATAAGGGGAAGTAAGTGAGCAGGGGTTAGAGAACCTGTTTGAAGAAATAATGGCAGAAAACTTCCTAACCTGGTCAAGGAAAAAGTCACACAAGTTCAGGAGGCACAGAGAGTTCCAAGCAAGAAGAATCCAAAGAGGCCCACTTCCAGACACATCATAATTAAAATGCCAAAATTTAAAGACAAAGAGAGAATCTTAAAGGCAGCAAGAGAAAAGAAATATGTTACCTACAAAGGAGCTCCCATAAGTCTGTCAGCTGATTTCTCAACAGAAACTCTACAGGCCAGAAGGGAATGGCATGAAGTATTCAAGGAAATGAAAAGCAAGGATCTGAAACCAAGACTACTCTATCATTCAAAATAGATGGTGAGCCCAGCTGGCGTGGCTCAGTGATTGAGCATCAACCCATGAACCAGAAGATCACAGTTCAATTCTTGGTCAGGGCACATGCCCTGGTTGTGGGTTTGATACTCAGTAGAGGGCGTGCAAGAGGCAGCCGATCAATGACTTTCTCTGATCATTGATGTTTCTATCTCTCCCTCTCCCTTCCTCTCTCTGAAACCAATAAATAATATATATTTTTTTAAAAAATAGTTGGTGAAATAAAAAGCTTCCCATACAAAAAAGGGCTAAAGGAGTTTATTACCACCAGACCAGCATTGCAAGAAATGTTAAAGAGGGTGCTGTAATAAGTAGAAATAGAAACATAGGTATAAAGAATTAAAATGGCACTAGTTAAGTACCTATCAATAATAACTTTAAATGTAAATAGATTAAATACTCCAATCAAAAGACACAGGGTAGCTGAATAGATAAGAAAACATGACCCAAATATATGCTGTCTACAAAAGAACCACCTCATAACAAAAGACTCACACAGGCTGAG